CTAATTCAAAGGATATTGTTACGTTCGTCTCTAGGTATGCTTAAACTATTACGAGTTCACCTTAGTTGAATAACAAGAACAAAACAATGAACCAGTGTCTAGGTAGGCTACTGCAATCCCTTGACCGAATTGTATCAACAAGAAGTCTTGATATAGTGTAGAAGTTGTATTCTACACCCAGCCAGCACACAATGAATCCTTACACTCAAATTGCGTTTATTTATACACCATAGAGACGTCCTTGGGACTGTCACGAAAATAGCACACTAAAATGACACAGTAACCAATCACAGGCAAGGGTTTTTTCCGGTGGGAAATATGATCTCAGGGTGAACTGATCAGCCTATGAATAAAATCCATAATAAAGATATTTATCAAGCGAGTTCTAGGGATCCAACATCCCCAACAGATATTATTCTGAATAAATATTACACTGAAAATATTGTAGTGAATTAGAAAACATAACTGATAATGGACAAAAAGCAATTTGAGTTAGAAAACAGTAATTTACTGTTTGTATTTCATCCTGACGATCATCATATTTTTTTTTAATACAGAAGAACGCCACAGTAATTGAATGGGGCTGCACAGTGATATCGAATAAATACGGAAATAATACTGAGTAGTATAAATATTTTAAATAAATAAGGGAATAGTTGGTTGTCATAGAAAACTACCTGACGTAGGGGTTTCGTGCTGGGTATATCTGTAATAATCTCAAGGGAACTAATGCTCGCTTATGTTACATGTTCTACTTCGTATCAAGTCTTCTTCTTCTTCTACTCAATCTGGGTTTAGGACAATCCGATTTAGAGTAGCCTATTGTGTCGCTGGATCCTCGACCCCAGATCTCATTTTCCGACTAATTGTAAACTCGTAATAGTTCAAGCATATCAAATCGACGTGTTGGACGTGCATGTGTAACAGTACTAACGTGTGAATTTTTTTTATCTTTCAAATATTGTTTCATGAAGGTTATACTCTGAACAATCTAGTAAATTTACTAACCTAGTGTTATGTCATTAGTTTCTTTTCAGCTTCTTTTATTTAACATGACAGTGATTGTATACAGTGAAAATTCAGTCGAGATATAATGCATTTTTTGGGGCAGAGTTTTGGAGGTTTGCGTTTTTACACATTTGAAATCATCAATCAATCATTGGTAGACCACCATGGTGGCCCAAAATATCGTAACAGTGCTCACTAGTGACTAGCTTCGTGAGGAAATTCTCGGAGTTCTAGTTGAGAAGACGTGACCAATGGAGTTCAAATCTGTCGGGTGTAGGCAGTAACTACCAAAGACAAATGGGTGAGTTCGCGCAAAATCCCTAGATCAATCAGAGTTAGACATTAACACCGTTGGATACAGGCCCAGTGGTCCAATGGTAGGGCGTTTGCCTACAATGCCGAAGGTCTTGGGCTCGAATCCTGCTAGGAGCAGGAGTAGTGGATGCGTACTGCTGAGGAGTAGTCCCATACCAGGACGAAACGGCCATCCAGTACTTCCAGGTTTCTAAAGGTGGTCTAACAATGATTGATTGGGGATTTCAAATATAATGCATTCTGAAATATATACAACGTAAGTTCTTTTTGGGGGGTGGGACCCCATAACCATTTTTACAAATAATAATAGTTAACACACATTTTAAATTAGCGATTATCGATTAATTTGGTGAAAATTTTTAAAAAATAAAGAACTAAATGAATATCACGTTAATTTTTTATTGTGTTGACCAAAAAGTTATTGGTTTTAACTTATTTTACTGCCAGTCCCAAGCCTGGATAAAGGAGAACAGTTGCGCATGCGTTTTGGTAGATACCGAACAACCAACTATAAAAGGCAACAATGATGACAACAGTCGTAGTATGTGGCTTGATTCAAAGTCTTATTCGCCAATATATTTCATCAGCTTTGATGATCTATGTCAATGATTCTGACCATTTGAGTTAAAGCCTGTCACGGGTAGGCAGTAAATAATAATGACTGAGGTTGCGCAAAACCTTAGACTGATCAGGGTTTGACATGTACGGCATTGGATGTCAGCTCAATAGTCCAGAGGTTAGGCGTTCGTTCGCAAGACCAAAAGTTCTAGATTCGAATCCTGTGAGCAGCGAGGGTCTTAGATGCACTCCTCTGATGAGGATGAAACGGCCGTTCAGTGCTTTCAGATTTCTAATGGTGGTCTAACAATGATTCATTCATGATTTCAATAATGATTGTGATCAAATCGAGTTGTACGGAAATGGTATGACCTCCTAGCTTACATCAGAGTTAGACCTCACAGTAATTACATAAGGTGGATAATCCTTTCGTCGTCTCCATGTATTGTTGTTGCTTTGATCACCGTATAGAACGAACACACCTTCTAATACACAGATGTACTAGTAATAGTAAACAGAAGAAACAGAATACGACTACTTCCACACAGACAATTCAATGAAGTACAATTGATTGATTGATGCACGCTGATTTTCTTTGAGTTTGAATAGAACCAGTAATCGTTTTTTAAATTAACTCACGAAACCTGAGAAATACGAAAATTCTACACTTTAAAATATCACAAAAAATTACTGTTATTATTATTATAGTTCAGTCTAGTGTAACTCTGTAGGTTTTAACTTTTTGTTTCGAAAAACAAGGCAATATTTAATTCAGTTGTTAATTGTTAGATGCCCGGAGAAATTTGAAAGGTTAGTTGGAATTCTCTGTGAAAATGTTCATGCAGTCTTGACCAAACTGTTGTCTATTGATAGTGTCAAATTCGTGTCACTCATTTTCACTGTCTATTCAGATTGATCGCTAAAGAGGGACTTGATCTATTTAGTCTCTAATCATTTGTAAATATAAAGTATACATGTGTACCAAAGTTATCTACCTATGATATCCTTCATGAAAAGTTGTACTTTCAACAATCTTATTCCATAACAGATCTCCACCTCACCCAAATGACTCAATCGTAACTTTTACAACTTTAGACAAATTAACAGGAATTCGAACGGTAATCGATAAAGTATTTAGTTTTACCCAATGGTTATCATGTTGAAAAGTACAAACGAATACAAAAAAGAAGCAAACATTCTATTTAACGTCTGCTTGTCTTGTTTTGGTTTCGTCTAACACTAAACATGTATAACTCAATCGGTCAACCAATCAGCCTCATTTGGCAGCTGTTCTAACTGAAAGTGAAGGAGAACGCAGGTGAGGGCAATCGAATTGTATATAACGGAAGTTACAAAGTTAATCAGTAAAATAGGAAAACCATATCGTAAATCATAGATTTGCAAATCTTCAATCCATCAACAGTCGATTGTCTGACATTTCACTCACTATTCATGCGTTTCATACAAATTCCATTGTGTTCCCGCTCTTCTTACTTTCTTGATCTTCCCCCATCTTCTGCTGCCAGACATTACGTTTTTACTCGCGTCATATATACTACTTATAAGTAGCACGCACCACAGGATTAATTAAACACTTATAATATTCAATCGATTTATTCAGAATGAAAAAAAATATAAAATCTTTTTCCTATTTATCAGATTAAAAAGTAATCATTGTTAGTAGTATAGGCAATTCTTATTTTTTTCCCTACAATCTATATTACATGAATATATGTATGTATATTTGTACATGTTATTTCACAAATATCAATTGTTACAAGGAAATTACAATTTGAAAAATTATCATCTCAAACACAGTTTTTTAATTTGAAAAAGTAAAATTATGTTTCTTGTTGAGTTTAGTACAGAAACTGGAAAAAAACAAACAAACAAACAAATGTTTCGCCTTTTTTTCTACAAAATTGAAACATTTTTGTTAGATGTCGATTTCACAAGGAGAAAGAAAAGAAAAAGAATACTGATTTAATTTACTGACTACACTCATTATCGATCGACCCAGCGTATATATGAGAGATCATTTTAAAATTAGTGAACGTCTGTTTTTTTTTCTTAGTTTAAAACTTCTCTCACCAATGTATACATAACAGTTTTTATCAGGAGGAATTGAACCTTGGACATTCAATGTTAAAGCTGTTTGTGTTTACTTGTCATGGCTCAAAATCGTTCGCAATGGCGCCGGTGCATTTATTCTCTGTGTTCTCTTAAATCCTAATCTTCTGGATTCTTCAAAACCTCTAGTTTTGTCTTTCTAAACTTTTCTCACTGAATCATACTTCTTGAATAATATCTTCTAATCCTAACCTCTCCGATTACTTCTAATACCTTTACTACCTCTACTACTATTGGATTTGAATTGACAATTACATCTCTGTGCTAATGTGGTATAGCGACATGAACTGATGTACTTACGTACGTACGAAGTTCTACGTTGCATCTGACTGACTGACTGACTTGTCATGCGCTGAACAGCAATCTCATCCCAGGTCGGGGACATTACCACCGTCGGATTGCCGGCTTATTAGTCTACAAGTTAGGCATTTGCGTGCCAGACTGAAGTCCCTGGGTTCGATCGCTGTGTGCCGGGGTCGTGGATGCACCATGTTGATGAGTTTCATATATTTAGATGAAACAGCCATCCAATACTTCCTTCCACATTTCTATGAAACTTATTTAAACAAATTTTAATTACATTGTCTTTAAGAGAATCAATCTATTTAGATTGTCATACTTTTTTATGAGTTGTATATTCAAAACGGATCTTATAACAGTCGAAGTCTAATCCAATA